AATGTCGTTTGCCTATGCAAACAGCCTGCCTGCTCCATGCTTGCAATCCTGTTTGAACAGTTGATCCCTCACTAGTGTGTGGAAGCAGCACACATTGCTTGCCCGAGAGATGGTGCTGCAACAATTATAGTCCGAAGTATATTCTGCCAAGTGATGGTGTGTTTATGTGCGGTTTGTGGGTTTCTGCCGAACAGAAGTAGACTACCTGCACCCAGCACAGTGGAAAAGGGGTGGGTCAAAGACGAGACATGATTTCCCATGACAGTCTCCACCGTCAATGACATTGTGACTACTTCCTTTATCAGGTCATCCCCGAGCACCACAGCCAGAGGTTTTGGTAAAGGAGGTCTACATCCATTCGTACACAGGCAGATCCCAGAAACAGCAACAGACAGGGACCCACCTTACTGTTCCCAAGCAGGTTGGTTCAGGAATAAATGTTGGCTCAGAACTCCAGGGAGAAGTCCCCTGCTCTCTGACCGTCTCATGCTGAGGTCTCCAGCTCACCAGGCAGAGATCCAGGGCCAGAAGCTGGGAGCACTAAGTGTTTACCTGCTCCAACAGCAATTTTTGAAGAGGATTAGCAACTTATCCAGAGAGAGAGAGAAATTGTAAACTAGGCCTGGCCTGTTCAATCATGAGCACACACCGAATGGAGGTGCCCAAGGTACTTCAAAAAAAAAGGGATTGACAAAGTCAGCATCGAAAGGATGTTTCCTTACAGGGGGCTAGCTCGAATGTGAAGTTAGCATTTTAGGGTTAGTGAAAAAGGTGGCACATTTAGAACACAGCAGAGGAGATATTATTTCTTTGACACACAGTCAGGAATATGTGGCATTCATTCCTGCAGATGCTGGGACACTGAATAAATTTCAAGACGGATAGATTTTTAAATCATTAACAGGTTGAGGTGTTATGGAGAACAAGCAGAAAGGTGGCCTTTAGGCCAAATGAGACAACCGACCCCTACTTCAAATTGTGCAACAGGCTCATGGGGCTGAATTACCTACTCCTAGTTCTTACGTTCCCAGGCTGTACTCACCCTTAGAAAGCAGCAAGTCCCACATCCCAACACCCTCTGCATGAGAACAACGTTTCCTCACATAGCAGGTGGTTTGCAGGGTCTGACCTGAAAATGTGCGCCTGCCATTATTGAGCCCTCCTTTAAAAGGGGATAAGTTCCTTTCTGTCCAGATCTGTTATTATTTTGTACATCTCAGTCAGTCAGTCAGTCAGTCATATGCCACCTCAAAGTCCTCTGCTCCAAAAGGAAATTAACCCCAATCTGTGCAATCTCTCTCTCTCCATCACTGGAACTCTCCAGCCCAGGCAACATCCTGGTAAACCGATGAATTGCTGGAAAAGCTCTGCAGGTCTGGGAGCATCCCTGGGTGAGAAAGCAGAGTTCATGTTTCAAGTTGAATGACCTTTCCTCAGAGCTCCCGGCTAACCTTCTCAGCCAAGGTCACTCGATCTGAAAATTAACTTTGATTTCTCTCCCCTTTTCCATTTTCTGTTTTTGTTTGATTTACAGCATCTGCAGTTCTTTTGGTTTTTATCCTGCTGGTCTCCCTCTGCACCTCTCCAGTGCTATCTCATCCCTTCCACAGTGTATATTGCAGAATTACACACAATGCTCTAGCTGTGGCAGAACCAACATTTTATGCTGTTCCAGTATTTGCTGCCTGTTTTTCAACTCCATGCATTGACCAAGAAAGACCATTGTCCCAAACACCTTCACCACGTTACACACCCGTGATGATACTTTAAGGGACCAGTTGACATACAAACCAAGGTCCTTCTGATCCTCAGTGCTTCCCAGAGTCCTACCATTTGTTTATCCTTCCCAATGCAACACCTGACACTTATCCATATTGAATTCCATTTGGCCCTGATCAGTCTACCTGGCCAGCCTGTCCACATTTCCTCCTAGTAATGGATGAATCAGGATACAAGGGTAGAATTGGGAAGACTTCAGCCCCTTTCAGTTATTTAGTTTCGACTGTCTGTTTGGCATGGCCTCCATCCTGCAGCACTTGGTGATAATGTAGATTACTAAAATGTGTTGACAGCAGATCACAACAACACAGCAATAGTTTCTCACGCTAACTTGCCTAGCAGCATGGTGGCAATAAACAGAAAACCAGCTCAGATGGCCAGATATCAGTGCCAGGCTCCAAAAGCACCTGCTTGTTTTAGAGGGCATAGTCATGGCAGAGCTCCCCCACGAGGATAGAGGAAATGTTTCGGTCATGTCCTCAGAGCAGAGCTGCCGAGGTCCAACACCCCCCACTGCCCAGCGGCAGACTTGGCTTTCTCAACAAAACGATGGAGACACCACCAGGAGTGCACAGGACTGGTCAGCCTCCTCACTGAGCCAGGATAGGAGCAAGTGACCCTCATGGCTGAGGGTGGGCCAAGACAGAGCGCCTGCCTGATATGGGGGATAACACTGCAGCTCCAATGCACCTTCAGAATTAATACTGAATCCCTGTTATGGGAGCAGGCCATTTGGTCCATCATGTACAAAACTAAGTGAGCTCTGTCTCAATCCCACTGCCACCTACTCAAACAACTCTCACTTGGCCTTTTTAAAATACATGTTCTCAGCAAGTCCCATTCTGACAGTACTGTACAAAAAAAAAGAAATCACTTTAGCACCACAAGTGCTTGTTCTCCCTCATTGATAAGACATGTTAAGGGCAAGTTGGTTTACACCATATCTGGGCGTTAGCACATCAGTGAATTCAAGGACCGTAACTTCCCCTCCTCGGTGGTCGAGAACGCCCTCAACCGTGTCTCCCACATCTCCCGCACCTCATCCCTCACACCCCATCCACGCAATAAAAACCAAAAAAGAATCCCCCTCGTCCTCACGTACCACCCCACCAACCTCCGGATCCAACGCATCATCCTCCGACACTTCCGCCATCTGCAATCCGACCCCACCACCAAAGACATCTTTCCCTCCCCACCTTTATCTGCTTTCCGGAGGGACAACTCTCTCCATGACTCCCTTGTCCGCTCCACACTCCCCTCCAGCTCCACCACACCCGGCACTTTTCCCTGCAACCGCAGGAAGTGCTACACCTGCCCCCATACCTCCTCCCTCACCCCCATCCCAGGCCCCAAGAAGACTTTCCACATCAAGCAGATGTTCACCTGCACATCTGCCAATGTGGTATACTGCATCCGCTGTACCCGGTGTGGCTTCCTCTACATCGGGGAAACCAAGCGGAGACTCGGGGACCGCTTTGCAGAACACCTACGCTCGGTTCGCAACAAACAACTGCACCTCCCAGTCGCGAACCATTTCAACTCCCCCTCCCATTCCTCAGACGACATGTCCATCCTGGGCCTCCTGCAGTGCCACAACGATGCCACCCGAAGGTTGCAGGAACAGCAACTCATATTCCGCTTGGGAACCCTGCAGCCCAATGGTATCAATGTGGATTTCACAAGTT